TAAAAAAATTTTTTTTTTTAAAGGGAGGACGTCAAAGTTAGAAAAATAAAAAATTTTTTATAAAGAGGAAATAGAAATAGAAAGAAGAAAATTTTTTTTTTAAAAAAAAAAAGAAGAGTGGGAATAAAAGAATAAAATCAAAAAAATTTTTTTTTTAAGGAAGTGACGAAAAAAAAATTTCTTTTAAAGGAGAGTGACGGAAAAAAAAAACTTTTTTTTAAAGTGAGGTACGAAAAAAAAATTTTTTTTTTTAAAAGGGGGGTGGCAAGGTAAGAAGAAAATTTTAGAAAAATAACAAAAATAAAGAAAAGAGAAGGAAAGGAAAGACATCAAGGGTTTATATAAAAAACAAATAACAAATCAATAAACAATCACGTGATCTCGTGTTATGATGGAAAAATATTTTAAAGTTTAAAAATTCCGTATACATTCCGCATGATTAATTTTTTCCGTATACATTAGTTTTTTTAAAAAATGTTCAAAAATGAATTGCTTATTAAATATACGGAATTTGTATACGGAATCTATAGAAACGTACATAAAATGTATACAAAACGTATCCTTTCCGTATACATATTTCTTATAGGGATGCTTCCTTTTGATCTTGTAAATATAATATTGGCAAATTAGTTTTGAATCAACTTTATATGAACTCATGGTTACATTACTTTTGTCCTGAAAAAATAATTCAAATTCTTTCAGACATACGATGAATTTTTCATTTCGGTTTTACAATAGCTATTGCACCTGGACCATTAAGTCTAGTATATTTGCGTACTGAATTATAGTATTAGGGCTAATCTATATAATAAAAAATTAATCAAGGATGAAAAAAAGATAAAGAATATTATTTTTTACGGGTACCCATTTTTTACAGTGAAATTATTAAAATCATTAATATGCGTTTCATGCCATTATTTATATGAGCCTTTTACAGACCCACGGATGGGTCTGGTTCACATTACCGACAGGTACGTTTTACCGACAATCATATTACCGACAATCATTTTACCGACAAAATAATAATATATTTTTAAGTTACAAAAAAAGCAAATTATATAAACTAAATTAAGAAAATTATTAAGAACAATTCTAAGTATAATATATTATGAAACTGAAATAAATTTTTTAAAAAATAAAGTTGATAAAATTAAATATTAAATTCAAGTTATTTTATTATATATAAATATCATAGTATTTTACATTTTGTTATATATTGATCAATTTTTTATTTTATATATTATGGTAAATTCTTTTATACTAAATATATATTTTAATTTTCATAACTGAAGCGGGCAGTGAAATAGTAATAAATACCGTAAGTGTTGATGGTAAAATGAATGTCGGTAAAATGAGTGTCGGTCGGTGAAATTGATTGTCAGTAATATGAGTGTCGGTAAAATGATTGTCGGTAAAATGATTGTCGGTAAAATGATTGTCGGTAATGTGAACGGGTCCCAATCATGCGTATTATTTATTTTTATTATATTTTATTATTCTATATTTATTAATAGACTAATTTAGATATTTCCATTAATTGATAAAATATTATAATTCATATTACAATATTTAATGCTGTAGCATACATATCACATATATTTTCTTAGTTCTCTATTTTTTTTTATTTTGCAATATTTGCGTTATAAAAAATTTTTTTTTTTTAAAAAGATTGAAGCCATAATAATATGTATTCTATAATCTATGTCGCATCCACCCATTTTACCAACACACGTCATTTTTCCTACATGCTATTGTTTTACCGACATCACATTTTTCCAAAACCTTGACGACAAATGCACCTCTTCGTTGATCGGCAAAGGATATAACCTTATCTATTATATCCTCCATGGAAACCACGATTTTTATTGGCCAATATTAAGCAGTGATCATGTGACCTTGTAAGCGCGGACATTTTTGTCCTCATTAATTTGAGGACGTGATTTTTGCCCTCACAACTATAAGGACACAGTTATCCTGAGGACATAATTTTGTCCTCGCAATTTTGAGGACATTTTGTCCTCACAACTGATTTTTGTCCTCACAACTATAATGACGTTATTGTCCTTGTAATTTGAGGACATTTCTGTGATTCGGGTTAACGATTAGCGTAATTTAAGTTTAACATGATTTATAATATTTTAATATTTTAATCAATCAATTTAAATTTATTAGTCAACGCTTATATTTCCTTATAAGATGAATAGAATTATTTTTGGTATAATAGGTTTTTGAGTAACATCTAAGGGCGGATGATCATGGTTCAGTGAACTGCGGTTTGAACTGAGTCAACTCGTTTCATGGTTCAGTTCGCTAAACACAGTTGACTCAGTTTGAAATGAACTGAACCGACTGAACCAAACCGAACCGAACCATATGAACTGAACTAGATTTAGTTATAAAATAAATTTATTTTTTTATTATTATTTAACTTTTACAAAATTTTTTATTTGTTTAGTTCTCAATATGTAATAATAGTGTAAATTTAATAGATTTAATAAATAAAAGTCATATGAAAACCATATAAAATACTATTCAATTACAGTATATTGTTTAATTATATGATTGAATAATCAAGCAATAACAAAACTTTTGAACTGAATTGTTTGGTTTAGACCAAATGGACCGGTTCAGTTCGGTTCGAACCTTTGAACTGAACCATGGTTCAGTTCGCTCAAGGCATGAACTGAACCGTGACCATCCCTACTATAGGATTACGTGATATCCCCTTTTATAAAGTATCTCTTATAACTGAGAAATCCCAAAATATTCTATTATATCATTTAGGGAATTGTATGTTTATTATTATTACAGTATGACAAAAATTAAGAATCAGATGAAAATATTTTTTGTTAGGATATTTACCGAGAGACAGCAAAAAATGCACTTGTCAAATAATCTCGACGCCTCATACATCAATACATGATTGAGCAGTCGTTATTATACTATGCATGCAGAAAAATATCAGGAACATGTGCGTTGTGGTGGTTCATGGTATTAAATTAATAAAATCATATTATGTTAGATGATGCTAAAAGAACTCCAAGACACTTTTTTAGCTACACTATTATAATGATTAACCACGGACAAAAGTACCAAAGGATGCAAAGGTGCAATATATACAGTATTAGCAAAAAGGAAAGAAGTTGAAAAAGTTAAAGAAATTACTGAAGACGAAGTAGTGGATTTGATTAGGAAGTTCAGGCGGGGGAGATAGGAATTGGATAAGATAGTAGCGGGTCCATCATCAATCATCTAAATTAAAAAGGATAATGTAACAGCGGAGAAAGTAATAGATATTATTATTAACCAACAAAGAGAAGATTACTTATACAGGTTATAATTTTTCTGCTACAAAAATGAAGGTTGATCGCAGACGTACGGTTGTCGTATGGAAAATGTAATTTTGTGAGGAGGTATAGGTTAAGTAGGTTCAAAGGTCATAAAAGGGTTTACCGTTAAATTTTTTTTTTTTTTTTTTTTTTTTTTTAAAACTGTAATGCATCTTTATTAAGGTCTATGGTCTATTGACTACCCTAAAATACAAGACACATAGAGCCAACATGTTTATACATCATGTCAACCCTATAACAGAGTAATCGGAACTAAACTACTGAAATACATTACAGAAAATAATAAAATAAATACAATACCTGACAAAATAAAATATATAAAACTAGCAAACTAAACTATTTTTGAAACCTAACTATTTGAATTCTAATTTTTAAGGTGTAGGATTAAAGTGAGAAATGTAATGTGTAATAGCGTTCAGATCTACAGCTTTAAAAGATGAGTCCCAACGGTCTCACATCCAAACAGTTTATTCCACCAAATCCCCCTATACCTACAAAAAATAAAAGTTAGTATTCTAAACTAAAACTAGAATAAAAAGAAAAGAAAAAACATTTTTGTTATTTTTATTATCGGAAAATTTTTGATGTGAATCACGTGACTTCGATTAAAATGTAATTCCTTCCTCTTCGTAATCCTAATCTCGCTCCCTTTATTGTCTCTTCCTGTTACCCTTTTTCTTCTTTTTACCTTTCTTCTTTGACGGTGATGCTTCAGGTTCTGCTTCTTTTTCCTCTTCTTCTTCTGTATCTTCGTTTTGTGATGGCGAAAAAGATAGGAGTTGCTCTCGTTGCCTTCGTTCTTTATATAATTCGGTGAAAGCTTTGTTTCTTTCTTCTTCGTCCTCTATCTCGCTCCATTTGCTCAGCGATTCTAAAATTGGTCTCTTTTCTCCAATTTTCTTTTCATCTTGGTATCTATTTTCATCCTCCAATCTTTGTTTAAAATTATCGTTCAGGGTTGTATATTCCTGGAATATTTTTGTTTTTTCTGCTAAACTGATAATTTTTTGTCCTAATCGGAAAAAATTGTTTCTCTCCATTGCCCATGCTTTAGCTTTCTCCAATGATTTTATATTGTTCTCTTCACTCACTAAATGCAGGGCCTCTGTATTGATTCTTTCCCATTCCATTTCGTTGGACGTTTGATCGAAGACATTTTTCACTTCCATCAATTTGTCTACCAAGCTACCATTGTGGTCTGATTCTTGATACTGAACATATTTGATTTTGTTTGTTGTTCTGTAATCTTTTATGATATCAACCACTTCTTCAGTCGCTACGTTATCTTTCTTTAGTTGTTGACCCTTGTTTTTTGAAGTATCGTTGTGATCTGGATTATTCTCTTCTCCTACTCTCCAGTTTTTGATCATCTCGACAACTTCATTTTTGTCTGGCGTCTTGCTTATCCCTAGTGGCATTTCCACTTTTGATGGATGTAATAAGCTTTCTTTTCTTGAAGCGAAGTTCCCTAATTCTCTGTAAATTCTCTCCGGTGGTGTGTAAGGTGTCTTCAGTTCACTTGCCAGATGTAAGGGTGGACTCAACCTGTTCTCCGTAACTGTAGCCTTTTCTTGAACTATCTTCTCTCGTACTTTCTTCATCCTTGTCTTAGCATCATCGTCTTTATATATCGTCTTCTTATTTCTCACCAGCCAAACTTTATTAATATCTCCTTGTGTGCAAGAATCCTCCACTGCTTCTTCCATTTCTTTGAGGTTCTTGAAATATCCAATCACTTTCCAATTTTTTGTGATTTTGGGTTTACCGTTAAATTGCTGACGATAACTGTTATCATTTCAAACACCACCAAATTTTCTACCCACGTGACCTAAAAATGTTCATCATCGTTTCACTGTTTATATTTATCTGAGGCAAAATTGTTTTTCCTTAAATGTCACCGGTCACATGGGATAGAATTTTAATTATAAAATTGTTGCTGTTACACCGGTTACATATACTGTAAATTGTAACGTTGCAATTCATGTTTTTTTTTTATTTTTCAAATAAAAAAAAATTATTTATAATGGATTATTATAAATTTATATCGCAAAGCTTAACTCAAAATTTGCTTGAAATTTTAGATGATGATGAGTATTATGATATTACTATTGAAGTTGGTAATGACCCATATGTCAAAATATTCCGTGCTCATAGGGTCATTTTATATTATCGTTCTCCTTATTTACGAAGAATTCTGTTAACTAATGAAAAGAAAAAGGATGGAACGTTAACACATATTAAATTACCGAATATTTTACCTGAAACTTTTAAAGAAATTTTAAGGTAAAAAAAAAAAAAAATTATAAATTATAAATTATTCAGTATACAATATATATATGTATTAGTTTAAACTAAACGTTTTTATTTTTTAGGTATATTTACAGTGGAGTTATTTCCTTAGATGAATATAATGTCTCAGATATCATTAAAATATTGGTCGCAGCTGAAGAACTTGGTCTTAAAGAATTAATTATTCTTCTACAATATTATTTAATAGAAAACAAACCAGAATGGATGAAGCTAAATTTTAATGATGTATATCGAATAATTTTTGAAAATAATTCTTTTTCAGAACTCCGAAATTATTGTAATAAATTAATATCTGACGAGCCAGATAAAATATTCAAATCATTAGATCTCTCTTCGACTCCAGAAAAACTTTTGATCAAACTTATTCAAACCGATAATTTAAAAATGAGTGAAGTACAAGTATGGGACCATGTGGTTAAATGGGGACATGCTAAAAATCCAGAACTTCCCTCAGATCCTACAAATTTTTTAAAGGAAGATTTTAATACTCTAAAAAATAGTTTACAACAATTTATTGAATTTATTGATTTCTATAATTTAACTTCTGAAGAATTTTCAGACAAAGTATTGCCTTATAGAAAAATTTTATCAAAGGAATTGTATAATGAGTTATTAAAACATTACTTAAAACCCAATAATCAATCAATTAATAGATCCAATGTTGATTCAATAAGTATTGACTCTGAGATTATCACATCTCAACACGCTGAATTAATTTTGAAATGGATTAATGTGAATTACTCGAATACTTTTACTTCAATATTTTCAAAATTTATTTATAAAGACAATACTACGTTCAAATTATTACTTCGTGGATCTCGTGATGGATTTACAACTTTTAAATTTCATGAAATCTGTGATAATCAATCTCATACTGTAGTAATTATTAAAGTGAAAGATAGTAATGAAATTCTTGGAGGATATAATCCTATTGCATGGAAATCTAATTGTAGTTACGGTAATACTAAAGATAGTTTTATATTCTCTTTTAAAGATAGTGATGATATTGAAAGTTATACTTTAAGTCGTGTAAAAGATGAAAACAATGCTATATTTAACTACTATAGTTATGGACCAGTATTTGGTTATCGTGATCTTGGTTTATTTGTAAACACTGTAGACTCTGGTTATTGTCGTAATGGTTGTTATGAAAACCAAATCAGAAAAACTACTGGTGATTTTCTAGTAGAAGAATATGAAATATTTCAAGTTATCAAATAATGTTAGTTTATGTTCGTTTAAGTTCTTTTTATTTCTTATTATCATACTTATATTTATCTTTTTTTTTCTTAAAATTTACAATTTATATAATTTTTAACTTGATAACTTATCCTATTAAATGTATATTTGACAATACTAATTTATCCATCAATTCTAAACATGTTTAATTCGCGAGGACATTAAATTTTACATGTTTTTATTGTATAAATAAAGTGATAAAATAAATTTTTTTATTTATTAAGGAAATTAAAGTTATTCTTAATTGACAATAAGTTGATATAAAGAATAAGATTGTAACAAAATATCTTTTTTTAGTATTGACTTTTTCAAAAACTTATTAACCTTCAAATTTTGGTATGATAAACTCACTATATTTATGCATGATAAAAGTTTGAGTATGGGTTGTCTATTGAGTATTGTATGACGTAATAACTGATGTTGAGTATAGTGTATGAAATTTACTATACTCCGTTGTATGTATGTAACATTTAAAACATGTATTGTATTAATTAATTTGCAAAGAGTAATTAGTATAAAATGCGGATTTCATTTTTATTTAATTAATTCAAATTTTTACTTTTATAATTTACAATTGATAAAGCTATTCTAACTTCAATAAAACTATTCTAACATTAACTTTAACTCCCGCTCCTTCTCAAGGTTAGACAGTTCCATTACGCGAACTTTTGCTTCACATTCTCTTAATAAAATTTCACGTTCTTTTAAAGCTAGTTTCCTCTCTCGATATTCAAGCTCAGTTTAAATTTTCTTTATTATTATTATCATCACAATTATCATCGGAACCAGAAATTGTGACAATTGTTTTGGTTTTCTTGTTAGAATTTGCACGTCTACATTTCACAGTTGATTTTGTAATGTTCGATTTTTTAACCTGTGCATTAGCTAATATATAAAAAAAATTAATAAAATAAATCATAATAAAGATTTTTAATTACCTTTACATTTGTTAGACTGAACATTGTGAGTTATGGGTCCTTTGTCTCGCTTTCTATTGGGTATATTGTATGTTTTACGAATTTTAATGGCACTAAATCTTCTTTATCTAATCTTTGCCCTCTACAACCAATAAATGGAAATTTTATTTATATTTGTATTACTTATTGATTATTGTAGTACATATATACGCAATAATTGCAACATACTAAGTATATACGCAGTAGTAGTCTGTATATAATTTCACATACGATAATCATTTGGTCCACCATACTATACTACTATTCGTATTACTTGACATAAACATGATTGTTGTATTAAATAATACAATAATGCTTTCTCCAATAGTAGTATATAGTGATGAGTTTAAATTTTTTACATTAAAACTGATTGAATTATTCTGCTAGGATTTCCTTATAACAAACCTACACCTTTCCTAAGTTTTAGAAGTTTGCAATAATACTATTAACTATTGATTGATCATTGTGTGATTCTTTGAAAGAAAATTTTGAAATACACTATAATATTTAACAAAATAAAAATTGTAGAGATATATAACTTTTTGTATCGGGAGCTAGGACTAAAGATATTACAGAATACATCTGAATTTCATAAAATCATAGCTAAATACTTACACAAAGTCTTTAAACTAAAAAGATAACCTTGAATAAAAACATGAGTTCACTAATTAATCATAAATAACATATCTAACTTCATCCAGCTAAGATATCAAAGGGCTAGGAACACATTATTAGGTTGTTGTATTCCTTTATGAAAATGGAATAACCCTATTGAAAATCTATTCAAAACTATTGATGCTTAGTGTTGCTGAAGTTACTGAACAAGAAATTTATGACAATTATTACATAATATGAACTAGTACAGGTATACAACTATAGGAAATCTCAAACTTGTCACTAGATATAATAATTTAGTCAAGAGTACAACATACAGTAAATTGCAAAATATTATAGATGATATCAATAATGAAATAAATAAAGATTATATTTTACAGAAATTAATGAGTATTGTAGGCCTTTCATTGACATGTTCAGTTGTACTGTAATAACAAACAGGCTAATTAAAAATTTCCTTGTAGATGCAAGTATATATACTAATTATATCTATGGCTCCTCAATCATTAATATTATAAATGTCTTTGGTATAATAATCCTATTATAAATTTCCTTGTTTTAGATTGTTATAGACACAGACGAGGAAAATTGATAATATTAAAGCCTTCCTAAATGGTAACATTAGTTTCAAAAATCATCATTTTAAGCGGCCAATTAGAAATACAGTATTTAGTTTATTTCATAGCAATACATGTATTCTATTTTTTGATTTTTGCAGTAAAATTACATCCAATCATATGGTTTACTACAGGAGGGGCAAAATTGAGTTATTTAATAATTTGTTTTATGATCAGCTTTTCAAATACTATAAATTTAAGAAATTGGAATGCTTTAACATGTATTATTACAAATCCATTATTAAATTAAGTTTATAACTTTATTTAATGCAAAAGAATTCAATTATTTTGTGGACTTTCAATCATACTAAATTTTATTATGTGTTCTTTTTTTTAATATTCTTCAAAATTGCAATATTATAAAATACTTAATAATTATACTAATTATTGATAACATTTAAATGGGTTATATTTGATTTTATAATTAATTCAAAGTGTTTTACCAACTGGTTTATTGAGATTATTGAAGGTAAGCGATGTTATACCCTTATACATGTCCCTGATGGTAATAGATATAGCTTATAAGGTTAATAAATGACTCCTGGAAACATCATGTATATAAATTTTTTGATTGCTTATTCTCTTATTTCAAGGGAGGATTACAAATGAATTGAAAATTATTAATAGAAAATATAAGTTAAAATTATGATTATAATTCATAATTGTACTTTAATGTTATAACTGGAGATTTATATTATGATAAATGGAGCCAACAATTTTAATAAATCATAATCAATCATGACTCCTGCATATCTTAGTCTATGATATAGTAATATAGCAATATGTAATATTTATTTCATAGGAAACTGTAAATAAATATCATATCGTTGATTTTCATGTTGCAGCCATGAACAATCATGACTCGTGATATTCCACAGTGACTCCATGAAACAACTTATTTATATCACAATTCCAACCATAAAACTATTTAATAACCTTTTAAACTAATAATAAAAGAATTATTATTCT